TACAAAGGAGAGTTTGTATGAAACAGAGTATTGTTCGAACCGAAATAAGCTCTCCAATTGTCAAGTGTCGCGGAGGAATGACAGCTACATACGTATCACACATCATATTATTATTTAGCGGCAACGGCATTGGTACAGTGCAAATTCTCGTCACCGTGTTGTCGACAATAATGCAGTTTTCTCTCATCACATTAGCTCCTGCAAGAAAGTAAGATTCTTAGAAAAATATCTTCTTTATACAAAGTAGAAACCTAAAAACTGCTGAAAACAATTATAGAGGCTGATTTTATTCTTACTCTTGAAAGCTCTCCACATTACCACGTGACACAATAAATATCATATTGTTTCCAATAAAAGCTACGAAGAATTCGTTCAAGACAAATCCCAGATTGCGGAGGTCTCATTTTATATCATAATGTTAGTTTTTTACGTATTGTGAAACATTTTCAATAGTCTTTGACAAGTCCTTTTTTATCTAAAAGAATATTGAGCATTGCTCTGCTTTTTTAAAGTACATATTATGCGTCCGTTTAAAATCTTTCAGATGAATGTTCAAGATTGAGGACCCACGCATTGCCACTGGATCAGAAAAAACTTTCTGACATTGCATTGGTTCGTAAATGATCGTAACATTAAGTTGAGCCAAAATGGATGAGATTACTGCATTAGGTAGAAGCGCTCTGCGACCATTCTGTTCGAGAACATCAAAGACCTAAAACAAGTTTTCACTAATTCCAGAGGTTTATTATGAAAAACTTTGGATCAATCATCGTGAAGTGATGGATAGCCATGAGAGTACTGAGAGACGCACGAAGTGTCAGAGCATTGAGTTCATTTTATAAGCCTTTAAGAAAGAACAGAACAAAAACACTCGTAGTCTAGAAGTTGCAAACTTATTGTTTGCATCACTAAACGTGATACAAATGCCGAGCTCCATCCTTGCTGCCTGCAGTACCAAGATGCTGAGCGGAAATCGTGGCCATGTTGGTATAAACCATGGCAACAGGTAATGTGAAGCCTGTTACGACGAAGTTTCTAGTGCTTACTGCAACGCAATTTTTTAGTATGTGGAAATAAAAATCAAAAATCAAAACGCTTTGTTGGATAGATCTGAAGTTGATCTTCTTCCTATAATGGATTGAAAATCGTTTCACGGAAAGGCTTGAAATGCCACAACAATTGAGGACTGATAATGTATTAGACATTCATTCTGATTAGTGTTTACAAACTACATCTAGTTTTGTAAAGATCTGCAGTACATTAATATTTTTCCGTTAAACTACCTTGACCTGCAGGTGTCACTCCACATCCCAATACTGTCAGGGTTGTGGATAGAAGCGAAATCACAATAGGATCTGCTGGAAGTTTTGTCATTTTCGTAAACATTTTTATTTAGCCTCCTAAAAATCTAAGCATATACTGTAGACTTTACTGAAAATAAATATTTTTTTGCATCAGATCATTCACAAGTAATGACGGGATTCGGAACAGGAAAATACTACACTTTGGCGTAGCAGCTATTTGAGTTTCGATAGATTAAGAGTTTTCAATCTGTTTAATTCGTAGCAAAATTCTCCAAAACAATCTTCACGACAGACCATGTTATTCCGAGACACACATAATGGATTAGTGAAGACGAATTTATGTCAAAATTTGATTTAAAAGGATTTACGTAGACGAATACTTAGAAAGAAATTTTGGAGAATGCGTCAATTGTTAAGGTGGCTCAACTCAAATTTGATTTCCACCATCTAATTTGTGATACTACAGCACAATATGACTTTCTCAAGAATAAAATTTGACAATCGACAAAGCTTCGACGTTAAGTGCACTTTAAAGAGACGATGTATAAGGAGAAGATATTGATTGAGAAAAAATGAAACATAACTTGCGGTGCAAAACGTTTTTAGCAACAGCAAAAATCCTACTTGCTAAGTTTTGATGTTCTCATTAGGCCCTTCAAACTGAAGAGCATTAAGACTCTTCTCTTTGACGAAGAAATCGGCTAAGTGTCAAAAAAAATTCTGCAGAGTTGCACTAAGAGATTGGCAAACAGGCGATGAATAAGACAGTACCGAAAACCTGCCAAAATGAGAAAGATAAAGAGAAAGCGCGTCAGAATTGTTTGAGAAGAAACAGAACTGCAAGAGGTCACATTTTCGACGTGAAGCACAAGGATGCTACTCAAAGCAGAGATGAGTAGACAAAATGTGCACTGTGAAAAAATCAAATGAGGTCCTCCGAGATGTTTTCTTCCTTGCTCAACTTTTTAAACGCCCCAATATTCTTACCAAGGTGAATGTTTATAAAACGCCGTCAATTTTTCGCTCCTTCTTCTCTATGTGTGGAGAGAGCAAAATTTGCTGTTTTACAGCCCATACAGAAAAATTTATTTTCATCCATATAAGAATCTCAAACTCTCTAACAATCTGTCTCATCTACGTAAGTGCTGAAAGGAACCATCTGGAAAGTGGGTGGTGTTTTACTCATAATTCATCGAAGTGACTTATCTTCCTCATATTATTTAGATAATCCAAAAGCCTTTTCATATTCAGCGCTACAAACCCAATGCGCTAGATTTTAATCTTACAAGGAAATGAATTGAGTGAAACCACAGTGATCACGATTGCGGCAGTTTCGCTATTGGAGTGCAGCAAAAGTCGTTTTACTGTCCATAAAATTACTTATCGGAATAGATTGATTTGAAATCCATGTTTCGGAGAACGGCTCAATAGTGACACTGCTGAAGTGAAATCTTTCTGGGAGATATTCCCTTATCCACAAAGTTCGCATTCATTTGTGATTGGCGCATGAGATGAAAAAAAAAGTCTGACTAGTCAGCTAGAGCTCTTCAAAATAATTTTTTTCTATTTTTCCTATCTCAAGGACAAAAACTTGGAAGCACATTCAGTGCTGTGGAATTTTCGGTCTTGATAGAGGCTTCTTAACCCTAATAAAAGCTAAATAAACAGCTTTGCAGGATATTAGTTGGAATGCTAAAACGCGAACAGTATCGCTACAATTTCTCTTTGCACTTTCAACGCTACAGTGCGCTGGCGGTTGTTTTGATGAGTGCTTTTGAGAAACTGCTCTATCGTGAATCATGTGAGCATAACTGTCTCACAGCGTTATAGTGTTAGAATAGCCACATATTACAGATTTAATCGGTTTTGAAATCTTATTGATTTCGCAGCAATTCAATTTCGAAAACTCTAATAGCAGCAAGAACTCATTTTTCTACAAATGCAAATATCAATAACTAAACTATTTCTGAAATTCGAGAAAATCAGCCACTCTTTCCATATTAAGCACTGTAGAAAAAATGCAGAGAAGAAACCAGAAATCATGCAGTGAACAATTATAGGCCTTCTGTTCAAATCCCCTTTCAACTGCAAAGACAAATGATTATTATGGTGTTCGAACGACGATTATCTGAAACAAACGGTATGTTATTTCATGAATACCAGAACAGCAATCAATTGTCCAACACTGCCGATCTCGTGATTTTTTTCATTTGACTGTACGTGTAAATCGTACATCGTCGCCTACTCTACGTAGGGGGATGGAGCACCCCCGAGAGGGATGGCTAAGAGGAAGAGCATTGCCTAACTGACGAGACTGCCAAGAACGAAATACGCGTATCGGGCTCTATAAGTGCTCGTTAAAAACACATGACATGTTGGCTCAAAAATAATTTTTAGATGCTTTTCGAGTGTTATCTTAAGACCACGTTCAACTTTCAATATGCCTGATGATCATGTTTTATGCCTTGCATGCGCTCTGTTATTGGGAAACTTATAGAGCCTAATACACGCGTTTTAGCCAAACGATACCAGCCAAGAGCAATCGAGCGTGCTTCACTTTCCATTCAGTAAAAATTTTACTCAATGGATCGTGTAAAGTGCTCGTCGTCGCTACTCTAAGTAGGGAACTGGAGCACCCTAAGAGAATTGGTTAAAGACGAGGGATACTGCTCGACTGAAGCTGCTGTCAAGGCCAAAACTCATATATCGGGCTTTATAAGTTGCCCAATAACAGGCCACATGTTTGGTTCAAAAATTTATCAAGCAAGTTTTCAGATGTATTGAAATTTTGATTGTGGTCATAGAAAATACTTAGACGAAAATATTATGGTATTATCTAAGTTGATATTTACCTTCTACCAAAAAAGTTACTTCGGTTCTATTTCGTATGACATTACGGGATGAAGAAACAATCCCTTTCGTTGGGCACGAACTTTTCTGAGAGTGTTAATGATCAGTCGAAAACTTAAATCTCTGGCTAGTGAGGTGCATGGGCGGTTATTTGGAAAGACCCTTTTATGACGCTGTAAAATTCAAAATAAAATTATGTTTCACAACAATAGCGTAACTCTACTGCTCCTTCGCTGGAATCACGAAAAGTATATCGTCATGTGAAGGAAATTTCACAATGGAAAAAGTATTATGTTCAATCTGGAGTTTCTTTCGAAGCGCAGAAAAATCCCTAATCGTTTGACAGAAGTCGCATTTTACATGTGACCCTCCAGCGTACTTCGACCGATCTATGGCGGGCGGCAGCATCGAATCTATGATCTCGATCGAAACCTCGACCGAAGATTAGCCGGTATACGAGCGCGCCGAAGATGTGGAGCTCAGTCTTATTCTTTCTGTAACATTGTAGTGCAAAGGTCCTTCCATAAAAAAAAACACGGCGTTCGAATCTATAAATCTTATGCTAATGTGTGATTATTAACAGTCTGAAAAAAGAGCCTTGTCCTTCGAGAACTATGCACGTGTGATACACTAAAGTTTTCCTTTCGCTGAAGGGTTACGAAAAAACTATTTCAAAAAATGACCAAGAGCAGCACTAGCCAGAGATTTAAGCTTTTGAATAATAGCAAACATTTTACTAGAAAATTTGTTGTCCAGCGACCGGAGTCGTTTCTTCCTCCCGAGCGGTCTAACTGAATTGTACCGCTATTTTATACCAAACAATGTAGAGTGGTGCACGGAAACATTAGTGTTAGCCGGGATTCAAACTCAGATCTCACTCTTTCCAGGAATGCGTGCTGACCCGTTACACTACTAACGCTTGTTTTGCACAATATTCTTTCTACGCCACAACGCGTTATCTGTCAATAGCCAATCGTCGACGGTTAGCCGGGCAGCATCTATCGGCATTGGACCCACTTATGCTCACATTATTGGATATATTATAAGATCATACCACCGCAAGAGGCGGTCAGATAATTGAATTCCGTCTGATTACCGCTATTTTAATTAGGAATGTTAATGCCAGGCATAAATACGTGATATTTTGAGAATTTTATCTTATAAACAGCAATGAAAGGCAAATACCGCCGCTTACTTGCCAAATGCTATATGGTACTAAACCGACGATGGGTTATCATCAATAGAGCAACTAGATTCGGTCGTCAATCACCCAGGAACCATGAAGTTTCCTGATCACAATGAGTCAGTTCGACGTGGCAAAGTAAGGCAGCGTAAGAAAGGCAGCGGTATAGACGTTACTTCAATCGAATGATATTTGACGTTACTCATTATCAGAAAATTATTGGTGTGACTCACTCGGACCATCTTAGATGTAACGACAGGTGACCGACAGAGCGTCAACTATAAGGAGGATTCATGAAAACGTCGTGGAAGCTAATCAGTAATCGGTCAAAAGAAAATTTGTTTACCCGTACCGGGGATCGATGAAAAGCGAGATTAAAGGCTGCTTGTTCTGTTGAAGAATATAGCCAAGATCACCGACTGCAAACTGTGGTTACCTGCTTTAACGGTCTGAGTGGTGCTCGTCAACATATTGACTGCTTCAACATTACATCACTTCCGATAAACTGTTGGAAATTGCAGCTGTCAGTCTACAGAATTGCTACTTAGGAAACTACTGATTCAACGTAATGCTGTGCATAACCCTACCCTTTAGGCTGTACAAGTGAGCAAGTGGAATTTGTTCTGAAGACCATTAATTGTTTGAGTACGACATCCTGTATCGGTGCCGCACAAAATTGCGCTCCGTGGCGAATTTACACTGCCGCACGCTATAATGGGGATAAGGAGATTTGCTTAGCAAATTATTAGCTTACATTAAAAGGATAGAAGAATAAAGTTTTCGGCGTTGATTATTTCTCGAGGGATGCGTCAAGCATTCGACTTCAATTTTTTACTTCGCTTATCACGGGCTTCACAACTTTGCCTGTTGCAATGGTTTACACTGAAAAGTTGAATGATCGCAATCGAGTTCCTGGTACTGCAGCCAATAGGGCAGAAGCTGAGATATTTGTCCTACGTCTGTCGTGCAAGCAGTGAGCCTACAACCTTTCGAGTTCAAACTTTTGCTCTCGCAAGCCGTGGAAGTTCATAATAGGAGTTAAAGTCCGCTTTTCTTAAGCTTTGCAAGCCTCACACTGCTAAAATGTATTGCATCGATTCATATGAATCGGGTAAAAACACTTTCCACCATTTCTTCTGCACATGAAAAACTGCTCCTTACTGTATTTGATGTTGTCGAATGCAAAGGTCGGAAAGCTCATCCACATAACTTTCTAATCTCACGTATCTTAAGCCAACTCACTGTTAAAATCACTTGCGAGCCAATGCTGTGCCGCGCAGTTATTATTGATTATTGAGTTATACAAAGGATACGGGTGGGGCCTCAATATTGGATTCAATTTGAAACAACCCATGCAGAAGTATAACAACTATTCGTATAGCACAAATGTGCTTATGTTGTTTATGGAAAACGATTAATTTCCGAAAAAGTCGTGGATTTAGGGAAAAGCTATCATAAAGGAGCAAAAATTAAAACTTCAAGACCGATAATATACTGTGCAATAACTTCTTGTGATTATCTTGAAAATGACATATAATCCAACATGTCAGGCGGTGGTTCGAAGGGCTTTGAAGAATAGTCAGCGTTTATAGTCAGTTCGAAGAAGTTGTCTTTTTAGAACTCCTACCTTCTTACACATGACGTGACGCCACAGAACTGCACTGTCGTCGGTATCACGGTGACACCAATTTGCACTGTACCGGCAAAAACGCTGTGCATGGTAAACATGCATGCTACCGCTATTCCTTCACAGCACTTATCAATTTTAGAAACTCTCTGGTTTGCATTGTACTCTTTTTTGAACTCTTTTTCATAGAAGGAGGTAATCTGTATAGATCACAAACATCATTATAGCGAATGGGTCGAAAATGATGCGGTAACGATAGTGAACAGTGCGGTGCGAATGTTGGCATCAGGTCCGTTTGGACCACACTTCTTCTCGGTAACTGCCACACTCGGTGGAAACTAAAATGAACTGTGATCTCGTCGAACCAACCACTTTCTTTCAAGTAAAATCTATCGTAGCATTACAGCATCAATATATTGACAATTCACATAAGTATTGATCACTTGGAGTAATGCAACAATCTTTATAAAAGGCTCACTGTGATGCATTTGAATTTGCATCTTTTCTGACAAGTTTGTAAATAAAAAATAGCAGAAAGAACTTCGTTTATCATTTTAGGAAATGCACACTCGCTGCCGCTTTACTAGCCAATTGCCAAATATAAACTAGTTGTAGAAAGACTTAAATAATGACGACATTAAAAGGCTTGCGAACACACATCCAAACTGGGATCTACTTCGACAGCACTCAAAACGGAAATTTATTAAGTTGCTGCAGAGGTGTTGCTATTTCACAACTTGCTGAAAATTCAACTGCTCTTGCACCATGAATATCCTTACCATTGCTTATAATATAAAATGAACACCAAGTGATGCGTCGTGAGCAACAAAACACAAAGCGAGGAATGTGCTTTGGAATGATCTATAACATAACCTTTTTACCTAAGAACGCATTCCAAAAATGAACGGCGCATTTCAGTAATGTGCAAAGCTTAATTTCTTTCTCAACAGTCTAATAATCAGTATAATATTGAAAAGTGATCAGTTCTCAAACTCATACATTTATGTGCTCAAAAATTGGGTGGTGCTGACTTGCTAAGAACGGTTACGTCTACAAATGAAGATATTTCCCGTATCCGTGATGGGAAACGTTTATCTATAACTTGTAAATTGGCGATTTTCACCAGTGAGGCAGCATGACTCATGAAAAACCTTTGGATCGATGAATAAGAGGCCTTGGTTATTCGCGGCATTTTGGACGTCGCCGTCTTTCCGCTTACAGTCGTAAGAGTTCTAATCGCGCTAATGGACAATGATGAAACCTTCTAGTTACGCATACATTATACATTAATCTCAGAAATCTTGTCAAAGCTATCGTATCAATAAAACTAAAATCTCTCTAATACACACTGGCAAGTGACCTATTTAGAAGTTATATCGGAGGTTTTCAAACGGCTGGTAAAACATTTTCAGGAAGCATATTCTTTTCGGTGCTCTGTTTTTAGACATTAGAGAGCTTTTCTTGACTACTTTCAATCAGGCCTCGCATGTGATGTGTTGTGTAATTCTTTACAAGCAATTCACTGTTTTCCTATTGCTTCGGCATTGCTCCTAAAGGCGATAGCCTATTGAAGTCTCTTCAGTCATACTTTATCTTGAAAGTAATCACAATATCTCCTTTGGTTGCAGTTAGAAGAAACCTGAATTTTATACCGAAAGTATAACATTGTGATGATAACGCGCTGCACCTGTGCAACTGGACCACGCCGCCTGCTTTCAACGGTGATACGCACTCTTTCTCGTGTTTTATTTACGGTTTTGTAGTTAATCGATACTACTTGATGCTCCCGTCTATGGCGTCAGGCGACGAGACAGCAGGTGAAAGACCACAACACCACGGATGCGGAAGATACGAACGATACTCGGGACGCCATTGGAACCGGATCTGTTGAATACGCAGTCGATACGCCACGGAGACTGTTTTTACCCTGCACGTATAATGCAAGAACAATCTCCATTGACGTCGATCTTCACGCCTTTTTTAAAATAGCAAATCGCATAAAATTTTATGTAACTGCCGTACAAGAAACGAAAATTAGGAAGACCGACATGCGTCAACTGAACAACGGCACACTCGTAGTTCGCGGAGAAAAGTGCCATCACAAAATGTCACAGGCGTAGGCTTTCTCTTTCACCCGTCCATCACCCACGTCGTCGACTCGTACGAAGTCCTTTCTCCTCGCCTAGCTATTCTTACTCCAACTAAAGCGTAATTCTAAAATTACTGTCATCAACTGTTATTCACCAACCGACGCAGCTGATGAACACAAACTCGACGCATTTTACCATCAGTTGGAAAAAGTTATCCGTAATGATAAAGCATATTATAAATTGGTTGTAGGAGACATCAATGCCAGATTAAGAATGGCTAGCGGTAGCGAATACAGAATTCGAAATTTTGGATAGGACAATGAAGCAAAAATGAAAACCGTTTTGTTGGATTCCTACCTGCGGCACGTCTCCTCTACGGAAAATTACTTTTCCAGAAGAAAAAACACAGTCGCTGGATATGGAAGTCACCTAATGGCACGGCGCATGCGGAAATCGACCATGTCCTTACCAACAGAAGATGGTGCCTGCTCGACACAACCGTAGTGCCATTATTCTGTAGTAAGTCCGATCACCGCCTTCCTCGAGCAAAGATACTATTCAGGCGTAAGCTGGAAAAGAATTCATGTCATCGCTCAAGAGGAAGTCCTCAATCGTCTAAGACAAGAACATTCTAGACAAAGTCCTATCCAACTATGACTGGCAGATTAAGGTTGATTCGACCAAAGACTACGAGCTGCTTGTTAAAGGACTAAAAAGGTGCGCAGACTTAGCTTCAGTTGCTCAACCCAGAAGAGCCGATCTATTATTCATTACAAAGGAGTTTCTCGAAAAGAGAAGGAAGCTGAAGCTTGAATCAAGTGCAACACATTTAGCTCTGTTGATATCAAATACCAGCTGCAAAAGAGCTTTGCAGGAGGATCTACATCGGTATTGACAAAAGAAACTGTTAGAAGCAGTACAAGAAAGATCAAATCTGAAGAAGTGTTGTGCGAATCTGTGTGATTATACTGTTCCAAGGTCAGCGTTGATTAACGAAGATGGGATCACGAAAACTTTCC